CCCCCCCCCCCCCCCCCCCCCCCCCCCCCAAGTGTGGGGGGCCTCTAACCTGAGCCCCACTGTCCAGGGCTGAAGCCAAAGCCTGAGCCCTGCTGTCCAGGGCTGAAGCCCTTAGGCTTCATCCTCGGGCCCCAGCAAGTCTAACACCAGCCCTGGCGACCCTATTAAAATGGGGTCGGGACCCACTTTGGGATCCCGACCCACAGTTTGAGAACTGCTGAGCTAGAGGATTCTGGTTCTAAATGAATCTACTTGGTGGTATTCGTATCTGCCCTTGTTAAGCAAAGGTTGTTGATATTGGCAAAATAATAGTTTGAATAAACAGATTATAATAGTAAGGACTGAGTCATGTACTGGTAGCCCTAATAGAGGTTGTAGACACATCTCAAACCTGCACCCTTTCAGGGTTCCTGAATTCAGTCTTGAATCGGGAGAAGTTTGGAGAAGGAAGTGGGGGAGGTTTGTTACTAGGGAGGACAAATTGTAGTGGGGAATACTAGCGTATGACATTAACTGAACATGAGGAGGTGGGAAAAAGAAAGAAATAGACAGAGCCACATGGAAGAACCAGAAAAATGCAGAGTCTGCTCATAATTTCATACCTCAAAAAAGATTTAGGTTTGGTACAAATTCTAGACTGATGTTCAGACTGGTTCTTATTTTATTCAAACTGATTCCATTAATCTATCACAGCTATATTTATTTCTATACATTACGATAGCATATCTCTATCTCCTATCTATCTATCTATCTATCTATCTATCTATCTATCTATCTATCTATCTATCTATTTTGCTCTGTGATACCAATATAAATAAATGGTTACCCAAACAAAGATTTATGGTCCTGGAGCAGGTTTATCCTATCAAGAAAGCGCTGATTTGAAGTATTTGAGATGTTGAGAGAAAGGAAACTTGGTCAGCTGATGAGTTGGAGGAAGGAGAGAATGCTGGTAGGGTGTACTGCATCCTATTCAAATTCTCAGCTGGATGCCATATCAGGATGTACTTTTCATTTGGCCTAGGGAATTGATTTTTTGCAAGTTGTTGTTGGCAAGTAGAGTTGAATCCAAAAGAAAGAAAATCGAAGAAGCCAAGTACTGCATGTAAGACTCAGAAAATAGTGCTGGAGACACGTACAGCATGATACAGTTACAATACTTTTGTTGCTGTATTCTTTTAACACGATGAAGAAACTAACTAACCAATGTCACAGATACCAACTCCATGACTATATTTGCTGTAGCGGTTTGGTAGATGGAGCACCACATTCACTGAGTCTGTAGTCATTGAAGTCAGAGATTTTCGCCCGTGACTTCAATCGTTGCAGGATCAGGACTTGAAAGGATAGTCAGGGAAAGAATCAATCCTTGACAAATTGTAATCAACATATTGTGGGAGCAGTGGTACAGGCTGGGATGAAATGATGGGATCAGTGAATGAGGCAGACACCTAAAAAAGAGAGAGACAGGTGTCTCATTGGATGCAGATGAGCTTGGAAAAGGGCTCTGTTGGGGAAGTTGTGCTCTTGAGTGACTTGTGGAACTAGGGTATTATTCCTGGGGGAATTCTGTGCCAAAAAATGAAAATTCTGAACACACTATTTTAAAATTCTACAAAATTCTGCATATTTTATTTGTCAAAATAACACAATATAATCATGCCCGTTTTAATTATTTTGGTAATTTATTTCAAAATACCTGTTAGCAAGTATGTCTGTAAAATACAGACAACAAAGAAGATCCAGGAAATGTTTTTTGACAAATAGATTCCTTACTAGGCATATTAATACAGAATTCTGAGTAATAATCCATTTAAACTACAATACAGAAGTAATTGCTGGGAAGAAATCTGGGAGTGAACCTGAAGGTTTGTTGGATGTGGGTAGGGAGACATATGGAACAGGGTATTTTTGTTTTGGGGGAGGGATTGTTATGGAGTTGGGGAGCCTCCCCCATCGAGACCTGGCTGACCCTTAGCCTCTCCCATTCACTCAGGAACATCTGCCCCATTCTCCTGCACCCCTCCCACTCCTCTGCACCCCCACTCAGCCAACCCTCCTCCCCCTAGCCCCAAGTGTTCCCGCACTCCCATTCAGCCCCTGCCCCAGTCTGTCCCCCCACTAGCCCTTCTGAACCCCAGTCCGTGTGATACCCCAGCAGCACCATACGCCCCACTCTCTGTCTCCCCCATAACCGATGCCTCCTCACCTGGCCCCACGGACAGAGTGCTGTGAGGAATGCAGTCTCTCCTCCTCCCTATTGGCTGCTG